TTTCTTCATTTTAATATTTTAGTGGGAACAAATAAAAGCGGTTAAAAAATGATACAGTCGACTCCCGATTAATTGGGATGATTCCGAAAATGACATCCTTAGTTTAACTGAAAATCAGGATTTATCAGAGGGCAGTTAAAAATAAGAGGAAAGGGAAAGTATTACTAATGGTTTGCCTGCGTTAGTAGTTAACTTTAGAGAATTAGTTGTGTAACTTAAATCTGTATTCAAAATTCTCTCTCAGGGAACGGCGAGCTCATCCTTTTTTCTCTTCCTTCCTATTCTAATCTACTCGTATGTTTATCACTTCACGGCGCACATGCTGTTTGTCTTTGTTTACACTGCTTTTTTATTTGAACAGGTGTGAATGTGAAACAAAAGATCATAACGTCTGTACAATTTTTTAAATTGCTCAATTTACTTTTAACGAATAATTTAACAGTATTTAAATATTTAGAAACATGTACAACTAAGTCGCGTGCTTGTTTTGACAAAAAATAATTCCCAAAAGCTATTATATGATATTCTATCGCTACTAGCCCACAGAGCTACTAGCTACTAGTTTTTCTGTTTTTGTAGTTTCCGTTAACAGTTCGGTTGAAATGGCAATGAATGGAAACACCTGTTCTTTATCAATGGTTAACAGGTATATAGTCTCACATCAATTGCTAACAAAAACGTATGATGAAAATATTTTTTGTACACAATATTGTTCCACGCTGAAGACTGTCATACTCAATCTTCTATTATGTGCAGTAAACACACTAGTATTTTGTGTAAAGATAGGGTATGGTTAATCTATACCTGGATAATTTGGGTGTGACTATATTTGTATTGATTACAAATCCGTTCCCGCTTAATAGGGTGTTGACTGTATTTGTATTGATCTTATTGATAACATGCAGAGGTTTCATTGGATGAAGAGATTCCACTTTCGAACTTGCATTTTAATAAATGGAATAAAAATTAAGACTGATCTTTATTTTGTAATTAAAAATGAAATGCAGTTTATAAATTATTAAACTAAGAAAAATTTAAAGACCCATTAACGATACGTTCATAACATAAAATGGGGAATGTTATTCGGGGAAAGCCTTAAATTTGTAGGTTCAGAGCTTTTTTTTTTTTTTTTTTTTTTTTTTTTTTTTTTATAAAAAATGCCATATAATAAATTTATTTATATTATAATACCTTAAGGGATTGATACAGAAATTTAGTTTGGTAGCTGTCTAATCTTCCCTTTAAACTTTGTAAATGAATCCAAGCCATTCCAAACACTCTATAATCTAATTTATATATAAGCTCATTTCTCCATTACAAAAGGAGTTTTACATCCACAAGAGATAATTCATTCAACAAATTCAATACATCTGTTAATTTAGCCTAAATATATCAAAGCAAGATTTCGTATAAAATACTGGATTGTCCTTCCATAATTTTATTTTTTTTATTCATATATTTTAAAAAGATTATGTGTTAAAAATAGCGTGTCTTATAAAATGGTGCATTTTTGTTTTAAAAATAGATGTTATCTGTTAATCTATAGAAATATTGTACAGGTTCTAATATATTTTCATTTGTTTCATTAATCAGTGTAATTAATATACTGTAATAAAATTAAATTCTTTACAATAAGTGATTTTGACGACTATTATAACGAAGCGTTATTCTAAAATTACTAAAATTTTTCATTTATTGAATACTTAAACTAATATGCTTTATCATTTCTGGTTTTGAGCTGGCATGGAAAGATCCAAATACGTACACACTTAATTAACTGTATACAAATGTCTGATAATTTATAACAAATTCAGAAATGTTTATAAATAAGCATTTGAATATAAAGTTTTGAATAAATTAACTATTTCATTTACAATTTAAATACTAATCCTTTAGTGCATAAAATTTTAAATTCCAAATAAAAATTATTTTTTGATAGGTTGATGACAGGCTGTTTGTGCACAAGTTGGCAACATGCTTTCTTTTGTTAACTATGGCTTACAATCACAAAATTTCTCAAAACGAGGTAGAAAATGTAATGAAGAGAGTTTCAGCACCGGGAAAGAATGTTTCAAAAATACAATATCTCATCTCTAGGGCTATCTGTTACAACAGTGATCCAATGAGCAGTGATCAAATATTCATGAAGTTAGATTAGGTTAAATATTTTATATAATGCCAATATAAGATATAATATAAGCTGACTATATGATTTAATAAATGTTTGTTATAAGAAGTAATGTATTTTTATGTAAAAATTGATGTGAGATTTTAAAAATCTAAGAAACGAATTAGGTTACTTACTTAGCTTACCAAAGCATATTTTCTCAGAGATAAAATATTCCTTAAAATAATTTAAAATAATCCTTAAATTTTTTCTAAACTTTATTTAGAATTATAAATCAAATTTAGTTTGTTTTGCGGATAAATAGAGTTATAGAAGATAAAGAAAAAAACACACATTAATTTTGTAGAAATCCTTGGAGAAATAGTAGTTGCAAATATCTCTCTAAGTTTTGCACCTTAAGTATAGAGCATTTTTAATTAATTATTAGCGCTGAATGACTTTTACTAACTGAGCTCCGCAAAGACCATAGAAATATGTCAAATTTCCAAAACCATTCCACACCTTGTGTATGCATAAAACATTAGAAAATTTTAAGAAATCTAATCATACATATAAAATTCTCTGCTCTATTTTAAGAAATTTTGTGATTTGTTGTATATATCTGAGATCAATATTAAAAAAAAAATAACTTACTTTTGAACGTTTAGCAAAAAGATAAAAAATTATACAAATATTTAAAATTTGAAAGCAAAATTATTAAAAGAAATTTTATGGTGCTTGAAAAAAATAATACAAAAATCTTCGAAGTAATTTGTTTTGCAAAAGATTTAGCATTATTATATAACTTAAATTAATTATTAAATAATCAGTAAATAAAGCTATGAAACGATCAGGTATACTAAAACAAATTGGGAACCTACGTAATACTTAAAATAATTCTGATGAGAACTGAAAAAAAAAAAAAAGATATTTGTAGAGATAACAACGTTATTTATCTTGAATTCATTTGAAGAAACGTTAAATGTCAAATGTTTCGAACAGCTTGTGAAAACGTTTAAAATCTATATAGTGCGTACAAATGACAGAGAAAACTTTAGTTAAATAGTATCAGAAGTAAATTCAGTACAGACACATCATGCAAGTAAAAGTTTTAATGAAATTAAAAGTATTCATGAAAGCATTAATGACTCCAACTTTATTAATGAATAAATTTTATCCTTAAAATCTACTGTCACTAAGGAAATGATGTAGATGACTTTGTTATGATAGACAACTTTAATAATATGTTCACCTACATAAATGTAATATGAAAAAGCATAAATTAATATGCGTTCCTGAACTTCAATAATAAACTCTTGCATAACACACTTAAAAATCTTAACTTCAGATTAATTCAAATGTGAAGATATAAATATGAGAGTTTTATGCTTAAGAGAAACCTGCTAGTGTTTATTAATATAGTATACACTTTTTAGAATATATCTGTGCTATCTAAATCTAAAGAATCTAATAGCATTAAAGTAGTATAAAATTCAAGATGTTACTTAAGCATATTACTACTTTTCTAAACTTTTTTAATAATACAATGTCGGATTTTAGGTTCAACTAGTTAATGTAGTAAAAACTCATTTACTTGAGCCTTTTCAAAATGACTTCTAAGCGCCATTATATATATATATATATATATATATATATATATGTTTTTATGTATGTATACTGGCTTTTCTGAGTTTGTTCAAAATATTAAGAAAGAGGCTAAGATCCTTGAATTCGTAAGCATGGCTTGTTTTGGATAATATATCCTATGGGGTTAGATAGCTTATTTCAGAAAAAGAGATGCCCGATATTCGGGATACATAATCAGGTTCAATCAGGATTGAATCAGATCTAACCTACAAGATTCATTACAATTTAGGAAAATATTACACTTAAGACAGACACAAACAATGAACGTTTTGTCTCAATAGCACAATTCCAGTAGCGAATACGTTCTGGATCTCCACAACAAAAGTTCTGATTCATTCAGAACTGCAACAAGACGTTTATAACTTCAATTAGTTCAATAAAAAGCAATGTACGCAGTATTGCAGAAGCAGTTTCATAACACATAGCATTTGAATATGAAAATTCCAACAGAAAAGTGCATTAAAAGGGCATGAAATGTAGGTAAATTAAATGACATTTAATTTCTTCAGAAATTTAAATTGCGAGTGAAAAGTATCTATGCAACATTCAACAAATGCAAAGCATTTAATAATAAAAATAAAGTATGGGTAAAAACCGAAAATATATTATAGCATAAAATATGAAGGACTGATTTTTTATGTTTATTAAACAAAAGTATCTTTTGCCTTCTTTAATATATGAATTAAGATATATACTTCTCTTGTAATTTTTCTTAACAAATAAACATCGCAGTAGCTTTATAAATAAAATAGCCAAATTGGAAAAATAAGTAGAGAAAAGAGATATCAATTACAAGCATTTAACATCAAACATACACACACATTGAACAATACATACATGAAAAAATTATTAAAAATAAATAATTAAAATACTTAAAATGATAAAAACAATTTTTTCTTGAAGAAATAATTTTAGTTATTTATCAAGCAAGTATTATACATATCTTTGTATTCTTTACATGATTCTGTTTCTAAAACTGAATTAATTAAAATTTAATCCAAAAGCACACAAAGAACACATATTATCGTTTCTCTAGAGCATACTGTAACAAATAAAAATATTCATTTTAAAGAATTTAAGCATTTTAAATATTTTTATTAATTTGATAAAACTTTCTTTAACTATTAGATGAATTCTATGGAAGGCATGAAAAGCTATACAAAAAAAAAAAAAAAAAAAAAAAAAAAAAAAAATGTTTACGAACATAAATTAAAGAGAAGCAAACTGAAGGAAGCAGTGCCAACAAGTGCATTCTCCCATCTATTAGCAAGTAAAGTATTTTCACACCAAAGCATGGCTCGTACCCGATATATATTTTTGACCAAGGAGTACTAAAAATACCCCATGACACACAACATAAGTGTGTTCAGACAGACAACAATCAACTGACGAAATCAGCTTATTAGCCTGTTTGTCAAATGTAAAGTGGATGCCACATGGCCATCGACTTCCGCGGGTTCTGAACTATATTATCCCAATGGACAGAACCTTGGCCATGTCCTCTGTGCCCTAGGACGCAAGTTCCCAAGAGTGGGCTGTGACCGTGATGGCAATTCACTACACTCACCACCAGGTGGCAGTGCTTCAAATCGTCTTCTGTGACGTCGAAACTGAGCGCCTCGTTCCATACTGGGTTATTGGCACCTTTTTTCGTGGTAGTCTTTTTCTTCTTAATCTTTTTATTGTCTCCAGAAGTGAGACTTACTTTGACATAAGCATCTGAAAATAAAAGGAAGAGTTAAAATTTAATTTTTTTAAATAAAATTAGCAAAGAAATATACATATAAATCCAACTGTCGTATTTGATAGCGAAAACAAGTCGGTTAATGTTCTGATTCTCAGGACAAAGATGATGATTGCTCACTAAGACAATCCAGCCCACCAGCGGTGGAGCGGTAAAGACGCTGAACATTGGTAGTTCGGTCCGAGGTTCGAATCCCGCGAACGGGCTGGCTGCATGGGCGTGGTTTTCCCCATGTGTAACGTGTATACGAGACAGTTTCCCTTAGAAAGTTCTCCACGAAGGCATCCCTCCCTTTAGGCAGATAGCCCTCATGTGCTTTGCCATAATAAAATAATCCAATCCAATCCAATCCACTAAGACAATCCTGATTTCTTGTATCGTAGAAAAGAGGCATTAGGTAACAAGAATACCTATGTAAGATTTAAAAAATATCAATATTTATAAAACAGATTGCAAATGCATTTAGAGAAAATGGCTTAGAGCCGTAAAAAAGGTCAAATAAAATAAAACCCCTAATAAAGCAGAACTTTATTTCCCATTTCAGAAAGAGTTAAAATCATTGATTACCATTATCCTGCATTCACAGAAAATCCACAAATCAAAGAAGAAAACCGTAGATGAAACAAAACGGATAATTTGTATAAAAGCTGCTCGGAAAAAATACTTCGCATGAGTTATTGTTGTGTAATAAATACTTCTCAGGTCTTCAGAGGCATTCTTTTCATTTTTGCTATATAGTCTAAGTATCGGATTTGTAGACTGTTTTAATTTTAAAAACAAATTTCAGTCTTTCTAAAATATTTTAACTATTGGTTTGCTGGATTTTTTAAAGTACCCTCTCTTGCAAAAAGAAAATATGCATCCAGAGAGAAAAGAGCTACAGCTACGAAACTCTGCAGTAATATAGTGTTCGAGCAGATAAACACATGATCAAAAACTGGACAAAAACAATCGGTTTTAATTATGAGTAGCAATACAAAGAAGAATGTGAAAATAAATAGGTGTTAAAGACACTCCTGGGGACTGTACAAGCAGATACTAGGTTGGAGATGAAGTCTAATAAGTTGGCACTGTCTCTCTGCGGTAGACTGTGCCACAAATGGAACAACTGCTCAGCGAGTTGGGGCATATTTGTACACGTCATGTTCCAACATGTCCCAAGTATGTTCGACAGTCGAAAGTCTGTAGACGTAAAAGGCCTAACAGTTGATGGAATAGTCTTGCTGCATGTGAGGGAACGTTGTGCTGGACGTACCTGGAGAACAACAACCTGGAAGAACTGCTATCTTAAGCAGTACCGATCGGCTGAAAACTGTCGTCAATGTACCTGGTACCTGCGAGCATTCACAGTACCTCGCCGCACAACTAATGATGAACGGTTTCCCAGCTGATCGCTTCCCATACTGTAATGCCCTGTGTTCTGTTTGTCAGCCGCTTGGTAACAAATAGTACATTGAACCACTCACTTATCCGTCTCCAGACACGTATTCGGCGATCATCAGGATTGAGAGGAAAGAGTGATTCGCTGCTGAATATCGCATTTCTGCAATCGGACACTGTCCAACTTGAGCAAGAGTGGCACCATGTAAGACGACACTTCTTGTGGTGGGGTGTCAATGGAAAGCGTCATAATGGAAGTCTAGATTTGAGCCCAAGGTTACCTAGTCTTCTGCGTATCGTATCCCGGGATATCCTGACATCACCGAGAGTTGGCAAATGGCATTGTTTTGATGATTGCGTAACTTGTTGGTGCGGACGTGGCAGCTCTTCTAATTGAGCGATCATCTCGCTCATCAGTGGCTTGTGATCGGTGGCCTTCTCTGAGCCACTGTTTACAGCAGAGGACGAACACATCGCTTAGACCAATATGCCGGCCGATATGCCTGTTCAACCAACCAACCTCTTTTAGCCCTATGATGCGACTCCTTTCAAAGTCTGACAACTGTTCGTGACGCCGTGGAGAAAATCTTAAGGGAATCTTTCGTTACAGCGTTCGTGCATCCAAACCATCCGCGCGGTTGTAAATGGTCGTCACTCGCCGCAAATACCTTTTTATATTCTAAGAGCTGCGTTCTTCAGACGCACGTTGTATCTCCGCAGTGTTGATTGGTGCTGGAAGTTTAATCATTGACACATTTCAACAAACCACATTTGCATGCCGCGTTTTGTTTGGTTTGGTTTGATTTATTTAATTACGGCAAAGCACACTAGGGCTATCTGCCTAAGGGAAGGGATGCCTTCGTGGAGGATTTTCTAAGGGAAACTAGCTCGTATACACGTTACACATGGGGAAAACCACGAAAACGCCCATGCAGCCAGTCCGTTCGCGGGATTCGAACCTTGGACCGAACTGCCAGTGTTCAGTGACTTTACCGCTCGGCCGCTGGTGGGCTCGCCGCGTTTTGTAGTTGTGGCTAAATTTTCAGGAGCATTTAGGGGAGCCTGCTGTGGTACTAAAGGGCACGGGTTGGAATTCCGGCGAAAGCATGGTTGTAACTGTCCGTCCCTTCATAGAGGCAACTGTGGACCTCTATTAGTATATCCACAATAAAATGGCCACCACTTCTGGTAAAAGAATAATTTTTTCTGCAGTGTGTATTCATAATTAAAAGTTTTATTTATTAAGCATTGCATGCATGCAGAAATACATACACAAGCAGATGTGTATGGAAGAAATATTCTACAATATTTATGGCGAATCTAAAGTTTGAAATCTCAATCCAGTGTAAAAACAAAATTATTGTAGCCAAACTATGACCATTATAGAAAACTGAAGGAGTAATACTATCGGTTATTTTGACTATAATAATATTAGTTTTTATTATTCTTTTTATTGCTGTTTCAATGGAATTTGAATTTAAGACTTGTTATTATCATTAACTTTATGTTATACTAAATAACTGAAGCTTCCAGCAAGGTCTTTATCAACCGGCGTATTACCGAACATTCTGTGCATATAATAAAATTAAAAAATAAGCTTGTTTTCTTATACATTTTTGTGGGAACTGCGTTTTTAAAAATGATTTTTTATTATGCTTTATTGCTTCGTTTGTTCATGTCACAGGAATGAGCTAAGAGAATGTTAACAATGATTTTAAACAGCTAAGTAAGTAAGAAATCTTATATTAGTAAAGGCAGATAAGTGTGCGATGGGCATAAGTCACCTGATCAATGTTCACGTTTGCGCATTGTTAAGCGTTGACATATTTAGCTATACTATTTAGATTTGGGATGTAAATTAATCGAAGTATCTGAATGATTTGCGACGGATATTTTTACCAGTAAAACTTGTTGCTGTTTCAAGTTATAAAAACGGCTCCAAGTGTTTATTTAATTTTGTTTGCTCTTCTGGTAAATTTATTCACAAAGTTTATACAAAAAATATATAAAAAAAATGAAATGTTTGAGATTTTAGATTCCGTCCAAAGGGGAGTTTTTTTTAACGTTTTTTGGGTTACCTTCCTTTATTAAATATCATGTTCTTCGCACTTAAAACATAAGATCCAGTTCAACAGCAATATCGCAAAATAGTTTTAAAATGAGCATATCTTTAAAATTTTCGGTACAGACATTCATGCGCTGGAGATAAAAATGTTTTTTCTGCACAACGTTACCATTGCTCGCTTTGAAATCCTTGAGTTTGTTAATCAAAAATTCGTTAAAGTTTTACAAAATAGGAAATCGATAATAAAACAAATTCCAAATTTCAAATTTGATCTTCCACATGCCCATATTCGTTGGAGGATTACGTCATTCAAAATTCGATGGCTCTAGGTACCGTTTTTTTACCACAATGCGAGAAATATACATACATTTATGCAGATTTTCCATTAGTTAATTTCTTCAAATATAATGCAGGACTCTAACATTTTGTGGCAACAGTTTTAAAAGTGAACCGACATTTATAGGAAAAAAATTCTAAGGCAGTTTAAAATGAAATCCTAAGTTTTAAACTTTTTATTTTGGAAAACAAGTAATATGTTATTTTTATATAATTAAAAATTTGAAATTTTAAGATTCCGTTAATAAAATAGATAGGGTGTTATAAGCCTTATTATTATGATTTCATTTTTATGAATTATATTCTAAGAACTGTTTTGATGTTAATTTTAAGATATTATGAAATTAATGACTTTTAAAGCATGAGTAGCCTGCCTACCTTAGTTACTTTGGTGCTACTTTGGTAGACGGTTGCACGGATTTTGGCGATTTTTTGGCGATATTCTGGCGATATTTTTTGGCGAGCGATACGACTTATGGTAAACCCATTGCTGGACAAGTTATTTATGGTAACCGATACTTTGTTGTCATTTTATTTAAAAAAATAATGCGTTTTATTATGCATAAATTCCGTGTTTTAAATATTATTTATGACTTCAAAATAATAAAAATGAAATTAATTTTGCATTTTTATTTGAAATAAAATTTTATTGTTTATGATATTTTATGGAATTTTATGTTGTGAATGATGCAATGAATGACGTCACATTATTTTAAAAGTAATTGGTTTTAATATCTATAAGTTTAATCTAACGTTTTAAACATTACTTATGGCTGTTAAATATTAAAATACAATTTAATTTTGTAATTTTTTAAATATGATTTTATTATGAATGATTATTTAAATAATTTTAATTCTATGCGTGATGTAATCAGCTCCCTGATTGGTTACTGAATATTTGTGCATTTCCGCGCCATTTTAAAATTTTATTATTCATCTCTTCGAATTCCTCAGATTTCAAAACGAATGGATGTCTCCGTTTCGAAGATAAATGTTGTTATTGGTAATTACCAAGAATTATTGGTATCGGCATAAAAAAATTGCCGTTTGAGACTTTATTTTGGACAACCTGGATTTCCTACTCAAAGATTTATTTATTGTTACAAGGTTCAGAAGAAATTTATTAAAAATTTTTTGAGGAAACCTCGCTAATTGTTTCTTCAATGAAGTGCGAGAGATGGGGATAACAGATGA